AAGCCCCAAACAGACTTTTGGTACAGTCAACTACCAAGCTTCCCACCAGCCATAGCAGCTGCTTCCCTACAAGACAGATCTTTTATTTACTTAACCCTGCACTTCTTTCCCTGATTTTCCCCAACCAAAATCTCAAAGTGCTATGGAATAAAGTGTGCTGTGAAATAATACTGTGACTGCTTTTTGGATTATGGTATGCTATGGAAAAATACATTTATGCTATTAGAATATTTGACAGTTTTTCCCCTAAGAAATCGTAGCAATCAATGTATTTGCCCTTCGTATATGTTTAAACATCCTCTTAACATTGAAATGTTTTGGTGTTTAACATTCTTCTGGCAGGATCTGTTGATTTGAATGAAACTAAATACAACCTACATATTATTGTGGAGGAGAAATGATTATTGAAAAGAAGAAAATCTGGGACACGGAAAGGTGGGGGGAAAGTTTACCTTTTCAAAGGTAATGTGTTGCAAGTGCTAAAAAGAGCATCATCTTCACATCAAATCAAGCAAGGTACAGGATTCAAGAAACAACGTGCCAAGAGGCAATTTCTCAGCAAGATGTTAGCATCAGAACAAAAGCGATGTGTCTGGAAGCAGAACTGCTGAGCTGCAAACAACCTGGGTGTGAGTCAGAGAACATTAGGACAGTGCCTGTCCACCAGGAATACAGACTTGATTGCATGTGACTTGTGTCAACTCTGGAGACATCAAGAGCAGAACATAAAAGCAAGGCAACAGATACATTTCTAAATGAGCCATTCAGCCTCTAAGGCAATGAATCTGGCAACAACTCAAGTTCCAAGAGAAATCATCAGCATTCCAGGTTTGTGTTCCATGGTTATAGCCTTCAATCCTTTTTTTTTTCCTTTTTTTTTTTTTCATTTTCTTTTTTTTCAGGAAAAAGGTCACTAACTCATCCTGTTTTAAATCATTAAAAGACACAATCATCTCCTTTTAGACTAGCCCATAACTTTGCAACCAGAATCCAATTGCCTGTTCAGGCTCATTAGTGTCTTTGGATCTTAATGACCCACTCAGTTGCAGTAAATGAAAAACTAATCCTTGTTTTATGCCATTGGCCGAAAAGGATTAGCCAACTCTTGCTACTCATGCAATCAGCCTTGCACCAGGGAGATTACTACCATCTAATACTGTAAGTCTACACATTCCAATCTGTTACAATAAGTAGCACTTAAAGCTTATTTCCTTGAAATGCTTAAGCGTATTAATGCTATAGTATAAGACTGTTTTCTTATGATGCAATGATTCTTCTACCACTGTCCCGACAGTTTTCATTTAAATATATACATATATATATATGTGCTGTGATGCCCCTTGACTTCCAACATTGTCTTAATTATGTTCATAGTCTTGAAAAGAAAATTGAAATAATTTTTTTCTCTGTTTAGGGCACAAAAGTGGCAGGCAAGCATGGGATATTTTTAACATCCTACAGTAAGTCTTAACAGGTAGCTAAACATAGAGCTGCTACTTATAGTTAATGTTCTCTACTCGATACCATGGGTTGTAACTTAGCTTTGTAACTGTTTGGGGTTTTTTTGTGCAATTTTTACAGCTCGTTATTCTGGTTGCTCTTCTTATATTGCTTATAAAATGAGTGGATATTTGTACGAGTTAAGTCTACAGTGTGATACTATATACGATTTTTTTCTCGAAGTATTCACACAATGGTATTGTTGAAAATTTAGTATTGTGAAGAACCCATTTCATCACTATTACGTGCCTCATTCATACTTGAATATTGAACATTTTTTCTGCTACAAAATGAAGGAACTCTTGTGTTTTTATCACCTTAAGAAGTATATATTATAAAACAATTTAATTTGCCCTAAAGAGTGCTATGCTGTGTGTATATGTTTTATATCGATAGACTGAGAACGAAGTTAGAGAAAAGGAATAAATTTGACAATTTATTGGGAAACCTGATTTTTGAGTGGAAACAGTTCAACAAATGTGTAATTTTCTATCAAAGGTGTTGTGTGAAGCCGTAAATCAGCATTACATGAAAATAAATGATATATCCCACAACAGCTGGAAGTCATTCCAGGTAGCCTTTACCTCCTAGTTTCTAAATTAATTTTAGCATGAAACTTGTCCAGCTGTTGCATATTTGTTAGCTAAATGTGCTCTCCAGTTTATAAGCATGTTTTACATTTGGGCATCAGTAAAATTAACAGTAAAATAGTAGATGGGCCTCTGGTCAAAGTGTTACAGAAATATCACCTTACAAACTATAATGAATATTTTTTTGCTGGAAGACCACTATGCATGCCAAAGGAAATGTGGACAAATGTTCTTTGTGTTAAATCCCATTGGGAAACTGGCATCTTAATATAGGCATTATTTCTCTGGGAGAAAGAAAAATTAGGCATGACTGTCCTCCTCTCGGCAGCAGGGGGTAAGAGCATAATTTTTTTTTCTTCAGTGTTTAAAAATTGTACTCAACAAATTCAAAAATGGACTTATTCAAATGTTAAGATATTTCCTACAGTTATGTATTTAACCAGAACTGATCTATAGTCTTCTCTAATGCTGGCTGATGCACTAGCTGTTACGAGGAGTTTTCAGGTGACACAGTTTTCTGTGCAAATTGTAATTAAAAACTTAGATGGAGTGGTAAAGATATCAGGCCCTAAATAAACATTTACCTTCTGATTAGAGTACACACACAAGATTGAAAGCCAACCCCCTGCTCTGTTTATTTAAAAGAGTGGGTTGGTTTTTGTTTGTTTGTTTTTACTATTATTACCTTAGGGCTCAGTTACAAACCTGAACTCTGTTTTACTAGGTACAGTACACGGACAGAACAACGAGACAACCCCCACTTCTAAGGGTTCACAGCACCATATTACCACTTCGGAGACAGCTGCACAGCTTTTAAGAGATTACAGCTCCCCAGCTGCCATTGCTGGCATGCTGCTGGAGGCTACTGGTCTCCAGCTAAGCTGCAGTCACTTGTCCCTCATCCACAAGAGTCCAGAGTCAGCTAAGTTAGCTTTCCACACTTTCAGCAGTGATAGAAGTTAAATCTACCAACTCTACCTTGAGGAGTGAGGAACAACCACACATTTTTCAACTTTATCTGCATCATGGGGCCTGTAATGGCAAATAACAAGTGGTAATGAACAGAAAAGCACGCAGTTCTCAACCAACCCCTGCTACGTTGACAAGAGGATCTCTACCTACACTTTTTGACCAGAGATGGGTGTAGTCAGGTGTTCGTGTAAAGGACAGTAAGAATAAAATCTTTCAGTGTGAGAAGTGTTCATTTCAGCAGCCCAGCAACATGACCACTATTGATTTTATATGCATAATAACAAGGGATTAGGCAGAAACCGACAGTTTAATTTACAATGAAAAGTCCCAGTACATGTTTAAAAGTAGTTCGTGACTGTAAATCTCTGAAGAGTATTCCAAATACCGTGTGGTTGCCTCTTATGAAGTTGCTTTATTTTTTATTTATTGTTATTAACAAGCCTATCCTATTTCTCTAAGTAATCATCCAGCAGGATCTTGAACTGTGGTTTCTCCCACTTCAGCCAGCAGCCTTGCAGTATGCTACTGCAGCATAACAAATATCTGAGGCATGGTTGACAAAATTCATCAGATAACAGGAAAAGAAGGTTCAGTTATGGAATAACTGAACCAATAAAATTGCACTTCTGGGCTTACTAAGTGATCTCCAAAGATTATCTGCCAGTAGCATATCTTAACACACTACACCAAATAACACAGACAGGCTCTCAAATTTACCTTTAGACAATTAAGTGTGCAGTAAATTAGAAAAAATATTTTAAATAGATAAGCATGGAAGCCCATGTAAAGTCCAACAAACCCAAATGTGTCTTATTAGCTGGATCTCTGCAGCACTTCACTTAAGCGTCCTCAATCCATCTCCACTCTGCTTAAAAAATGCCCAACTTCCACCAATGTCTAAGCACAGGTACTGAAGGAGAAGCTGGGCTGCATGAAAATAGTCCTACGGCATTTAGGGGTTTAGTGGATAAAAAGTAGTGGCATGGATTACAGCTCTTGGTCATTTTATTGGACAGATAGTGTTAGGACAAGAGAGATGGGTTTTAAACTAAAAGAGGAGATATTTAGATTAGATTTTAGGAGCAAGTTCTTTACTCAGAGGGTGGTGAGGCACTGGCGCAGGCTGCCCAGGGAAACTGTGGATGCCCCATCCCTGAAGGTGTTCAAGGCCAGGCTGTACGGGGGCTTTGAGCAACCTGGTCTGGTGGGCGGCATCCCTAGTGGGGTGGAACTAGATGGTCTTTAAGATCCCTCCCAAGCCAGGGCATTCTATGATTCAGGGCTTTGTGGGTCAGCAGAGGGAAGAGCAACGCTACTCCCCTTTGGACCTTGAAGACCTTTGATTGGTGGACTCGACAGACTATAAGGGTAAGATGATTTTCATCAGCATGTTTCACTCAGTCCATGTGCCCTCCTGACTAGTTAGTGCACTTGCAGTGTCTTCTGTGAAGTTCACTGAATAATACCGTCTTTCTTTTATTTCCTCTGCTTCCATTCCAGCATCGTACTTGCCTGCTGTTACACAGAGTATTTACTTCAAAGTAAATTACCAAGAAACAGATATCCCTTATAAATTTATTAGGAGTTTCAAAAACTAGTAATAGGTGTTTCACACATAACAGAAACAAACAAAAAACATAAATAAAAACTCAAAAGCGACCTCGTATCTCCTTCAAAGGCCATAAATGTGAAACTGCTGCTTTTGGAGAGGACAGTTCTCAGGCATTCACAGGGCACAGTGGTGTGGTGGCTTTGAACAGTAAGCACTCCTTGCTGAGTTACTGTGGTATCATCTTCACAAGCACCCAGTCCAGAAAGCAAGCCATTTGTGGAGAACTGGTGGATACGCTTGTATTGACCACTGTTTCACTCTGGATACTGACTTAGTATCTTTTTTTTTTTTTCCTATAAAGTGGAAGGATCTTACTTTGCTTTCAGCATCTCAAGTGAGACAGAAGTTTAAATGTCAAGTATTATTACAACATTATTTCACTTCAGATATTAAGAGATATCTACAAAACCTTGCACGAAATTAACAAAAATGTTTATTTCAAACATCTTATAACAGATAACCAACTTAAAAACACTGTAATTCAAATTCAGCTTTGTCTAGTACAATAAAGTTACTTTTACTAACACTTTCTTTTATTTTGTATCAGAGACTGAAAGTACTCATCTAGAAGTACTCTTTAGATGCTCTCTCACAGATATTGAATTAACTCAACATGCTATTTTAAAATGGTATTTCTGCTGCTTGTAAGTGCCAATTTAGGGACAGTGTATCATAACATTTTATGAAAACAACATGTTTAGAAAATAAATAAGAAAAATGAAAGCTGCATCTCAAAGCATGTGCTTGCTGGAGATACACATGCTCTTGCAGCAATTGCAATAATGTATTCTTACATGAAATGAAAGGAGAAGATGAAATGCTTTGTACTTTAACTTAAGAAACTGAAAACATTTGTCAAGGCTAAGTAGGAAAAGAATTTAAAAGGAAGGCAAAGGTATTCAAAAGAATGTAGATGGCTTTGTATTTTGTAAGGAAGAATGAAAACCTTGCACAGAAGGAGACTGTGATGATCTCTGATCCTGTCCAAATGCAAATGGAAAACTAAAGTCATCTTTTCCATCTCCAAATGCGTGAGAAGTCGAGTCCGAGGGGAAGGGAAAGGCAAATGCATCCTCACTTTCTGATTTCCCAAATAAGCTTCCTATATAGAGTGAATATTATATTATTAGATTGTCTTACTGAAAGAATACTTTATGCATTCAGCATAATATGCTTCCTTTAATCATATTTTACTCCCAATGCCCACTGCATATCAGACTACAGTTGTGTGTTTATTTCTGCACTAGACATGGTACTTAAAGGAGGGCATTATCAGAAATTATGTAGAATGAAGCACTTGAATGATTTAGAATAACAAAACACTTTTTCAGTATATACTGGGTGAAATATTTTGAATACTAAGCAACAGAGTCTTTGTAAACTGACACATTTTTGTGGATTCTTTCTTCTCTGAAAAACCACTGAAATATTTGGAGAAACAAAGCTATAAACAGGAACCCCCCAAGTTTTACATTCAGTAACACAAAATTCATACCCTTTTCTCTGCAATACCTATGTATGCATATAAACTTTTGTTCATCCACTTCAAAAAAAAAGTGGCTTTGCACCTGCAGGACTTCTAAAAAGAGTAGATTACAGTTCCCTTCAGAAAAATGCTTGATCAAAAGTGAATTTTGATCCTACTGTTATCACTGAAAAATTGTCCTTTCTCCTCACTAAAGCCAGGATTTCACACAGAATGTATAAATGTGTGTGGCTCACTTTGTATGGGTAGAAGATACGGTTTATGAAGTCTCATTCTCCTCTCTCACTTGTGCTATTTTTACATTGTGTACCTCCAATGATTTAAAGTGATGATCAAGGTTTCTTTTATCAAATGAAAACTTTGCTTTTGTTACAGATGCGGGGGGGTGGAAACAATAGATGTATTTTTCTAACACTGAGATAGTAGCCTGAAGTTAAAAAAAGTGTTTTTTACCAGGACTATAGCTTTTTACATTTAAAGAACAGAGCTCCTTTCAGGAATGAAAAGGCTTACAAAACTTTGACACTTAATTTTTTCTTTCCCCTTGCAGCCCCTCTCAGAGTTTGCTTCAAATACATCTAATAAAATCACTATTTCTGTTTCTTCTTTCTCACATTCCTTTTTTCCATGAAATTGCACACTTTTGAGGTCCATAAGACAAGTATGAAGAGAAAGATTCAAGCTAGTCAAAAAAACAAATACAACAAACCACTAAACCACAATATCACAAATCGAAAACACAAGTACTTTCAGACTTACCAAAATCTTTCTGTGGGGACATGGGATTCAAGTGTCCCACAGGATAATTATCATCTGTCTGAAACAAAGCAGACATTTCATTTAACAAATTTAAAAGACAGAATGTAACTTCTAATACTGATATGTAATAAGTGAGAAAGACATATTCATAGAATCATAGCATGGCTTGGGTTGGAAGAGACCTTAAATATATCTAGTTACAACCCCTCTGCCATGGGCAGGGATGCCACCCACTAGATCAGGTTGCCCACCAGTGAATATTAGCATTTGAATTTAAATTTATATATCAATCCCTGAGTTCGCATGGTCAATTCTTTGATACATTTCATGTTTTCCTTACTTGAGGTATATACGCAGAATCCTTAGGCAAGATTTATAACAGGTACTTAAGTCCATATTAAGACCTTCAAAATTCCCATCTAACTTGTTAATTGTGAAGAGTGAAGTGACTGCTAGAGGCTGGTAAATTCCTGAGCTGTCACAATATAACATGGGTTCTGAGAGTATTAGGTGACTTACCTACTCACTTACCTCACCTTACCTAGCCCTACCTCATTCCTAAACAGCTCACAAACTATCCACCATTCTATTTTCTCCTACACAGGGCTGATGATAGGAGATATCACCATCACATATTTTAAGAAATACAAAATAAATATTGACCCTCTTTCCTCTTTTAGATTTCACCTAGTAACCAGAAGACTGAGCACATCCACTGAAATATGAGATACCTGGGTTCAAGTCCCTTATTTGTATAATGGGATTTGTATCTGCATTACCAGTGAGTGGTACCTAACCACTGTGTTACACACTGACACACATCTATCCTGAATATCCAGTTGCCTATCACTTAGCCTAGAGAGAATAAAAATTACTCTGGAACACTACAGCTAGGCAATCTGCAAAGGATAAGGAGCACTAGCTGGATTCCAGTCCCTGTTCCAATTAGTTGGCTACCTCCTCCATTTAAATGTAGATGCTAAAATATATTTGCTTTTCAGTTCTCCTAATAAATAAACCTTTATTCCTTTCCTAAGTGTTTTGCATTTTGTGAAAAATGGAGGATGAAAAAAACCAACAACAATTTAAGTGCCCGATTCCCCACTGCAGCAAGACAAAACCATGCAGGATTGGCATGTGTGTTGTAAATTCTGCCAGGGTACCTAAAATTTTGCATTGCAATGCTAAACCAGTAACCTTTTTGTGAATTTAGTCACTTGTGCGCCTGTGTGCACTTGTATACCCATACGGGCAAGATCCAGTCCCTGATCAGAAGTCATCACAGGAGAATCAGCAGGTAAGGATATAAGCTTTTCCTAAAGATATCAAATGTAAAATTAAGCATGCTAATAAAAAAAGGCTTAAAAGATGATCATTCAAGAAATCCTCATTAGCAGTCAATACTATTTTTTAGCATTGTTTGCTTTGTGGAAATTCAATATTCTTATGTACCCATTTTTACCTCATCAGATGAATGTTCTGCCCCAAACACAGAAGAATCAAACAAATTAAAGCCAGGTGACTTCTGGGAGAAGTTCATGAGAGAAAAGAAAGCCGGAGATTTTGATGTTCCTTCTTCACAACCGAAATTGTGAATGCTGTAAAGACAGAAGGGAAAAACCTACATTAATAGTTTTTTAAAAGTAGCACAGAGGGCTTTTTTGTTGCTGTTGTTATATTTGTCCTTATTATGTTTTGTGACTTTCCCAAATTACTGTATCTTCCATCAGTAATTACTTCTTGCAACACAGAATGGGTAATACAGCCCTTCAAATCAGACTGTTCCTACCAATTTTACTCTCGTGTTTCAAAAAAAAAATGCTTAAAGACAGTAATTAACAAATATTACTGCAGGAAAAGAAAACAATTTTAGCAAATGAGCTACAAAGAACCTGCCTCACATATTTCTAAGCAAAGTTCCCCTCCATCTTGAAAAAGCTACATTTCAAGCAGAAATGATAGTGTAAGAACAGAATCTAACTCAGAAAAAAAACAGTATTTTCAGAAGAGCTTTCTATGGAAATCTTTCTGTAGTATCTTTCAAAAAATAGCAGAAATATAAAATAAATATCATTACAAATTAACTTATGAAATCTAAATATAAAAGCTGAGATCATACAAGTCAAATGGAGGTGTTTTAGAGAACTGGGTTTTCTTCCCCTTTGAGTCAGGTGTTCCAACAAACTCAGGTGTTTCAGGCGTTCTTGGAAAATGTTCTGCACTTTCTTCTGCTGTGTCTGGATTATTTTCATTTGACTTAAAATAGGTATGTATTTTCTGTTTAAAAGAAACATATAATAACATTTATGGCATATGTAATTTCCCCACATATTGTTTTAAACATAGTCATCGTATGCTTTAGGCTTAGTTAGATTTTTTATTTTCATAAAAAATTAAGGGAATTCAATAAATTCTCACAGTTACATATTCTCCACAGTTACAACTGTAACCTTAGTTTAACTAATTAAGATGGAGTACTTCTGATTGCAATTATGTATGAAAATTTTCATTCCAAAATTAAGAAACTTGTAAGCTGACTGAACAAAAATGATTTGGAATAAAAGAACTCTCTCTTTCTAAAGTATCTCTTAGTTAATGCTTTAAGTCACATTGGAATCCTCGTGCTATTCTAGTGAAGTAAAGGAACATAAACCATCAGAATATATTTCATCTGACTATTTCCTCTTTCTCAGAAAATGTTAATGGAGAATATACACTTGAATTCTGTAGAACAATTTCCACCAGGCTCAATATTGTTTTAAAGATATTTTTCTCCACCAGCTGCCAGCAGCCATGAACCTGTAACCAACTAGAAGAAGACAAGTATCTCAAACTTGATCTCAGTATCACCTATACATGCAAGCTGTACAAACAACTAGCTTGAATATTACAGCATGGTGAGTTTAAACTCTCATTCAAGTACAGATTGTAGAAGTAGTGCAAACAGAGCCTTTTGGACTCCATAGCCAGCACAGAGCCTATTTTCTAGAGTTTTGTGGAAGAAGTGAGTTTCCCATGCATCTTAGCTCACATAGATGAAAGTTACATGTACCAGTTCTATCTAAAAAATGCTGTGCATATGGGCATAGATGGCCCATAGTTAAGGTAGCATAAAAAAGCATTAACATTGACAAGGCCAAAAGCAATGATCATTGTATTAGTAATCAGAAGACACAGATTGGCTTCTCTCCTCTTGGGTGCCTTAAAGTGAGTCACTTTGCCAATTCCTGAGAAATCTAATTACCTCTTAACAATTGATTCAAATACTTCAGAATAGTTTGACTGCAGTAAATAAAATAACTATGTCTGACATAAGAAACGCTTTCCTTACTTGAGGTATATACGAAGAATCCTTAGGCTCATCTTCTGCTTCTTTATCATCACATTTGGCCTCTTGGTCTTCTATACAAAGAATACAGTACTGCTTGTATTGTAACAACATTTTAAATGGATAAGTAAAAGTTATGTTGTGGGAAAGAATCCTTGAAAAAGATTTACTAACTTGGCATTGCTATTGATAAGGAAGTGTTCCAACCGTAGTCTTCATAATAACCCACTTTGTGGCCATTTTCATAATAGTTACCTCTCGTTCTGCCACTTACTCACTAGCATTAAAGCAATGCTAAAGCTTCTTCATATTGTTTGGTGTGTTCTTCAAATCTAGCTATTGCTCCCTGAGTGCTACTTTTGTCTAATCCAGCTGTTGCGCTCTGAGAGTGCTAATACCAGTCAATAGAAACCACGTAGAAACAGCATAAAAAGCACATCCATGTGAGACTGATGGAACATATCTTCAAGACCTGGGCCAAATCTAGGGTAGGAAATGAGAAGAATGCTACCCAACCTTCTGCTGAAAGCTTTAGACCATGCAACACTGTAGGCTAAGATCCTGTGTTTCAGGACATATAATTAGGATCCTATTTATAAAAAAAATAGACTATAGTTTTTGAAATGCATCTAAACTGACAGTGCAATTACGACAAAAAAAAAACAAACAACATTTAAGCTACAGCTCAGTGCCCTGGGACTTCAAAACTGTAGATGCATTTGCAGCTACTCTGTTTTGCTTCTGAAAGCATTTTGTGCATACTTCTTAATTTTCATTTTTTAAATCTTAATCTGATGCTTCAAGCTTCCTGAATTCCTTAGTTTGCTATAGCCCTTTTCTTTGCATTTTATCATGCCTTTTGGGTAGATTTTCACACAGGTTTCCAAACAGAAACTAAGAGCGTAGATTTACAAGAGATGCTGGGAGGTGCCCTTCATTAGCAATGGTTAATGTAGAATGCATACCACATTACTGCACAGTTCAGTCTCCATTTAAATTAGGACCCAGCCTGCCTACTGTATTCTCAATTTTAAACTAAATAATCAAGATGTAAAAGGAAAACAAATGCTGGTCCATTCATACCAGGGTGAAATTTTGGGTCCTAGAATTTTCCCTTTTATCATTTTGTGGTCTAGTTTACAGTAAGGGCACACCTGATCAGAAAATGTCTGTGGTACTTTACCTATTGCTGTATCTTCACTCTCGAACTGTTGATTAGTAGTCACTTGCTTTGGAGGAACTCCCTGTCTAAAAGACAAAAGTTACACTGCTGTTTGTTTCAATGTGGATTATTTCCATAAACTTTAATCTCAAGAATGAAAGCTACTTCATTAGAGAAAAGTTACCTGAATTGCATTTGGCTTTGCAAGCTTGCTGTTGATGGAACTTGGGCAATTTGTAGATTATTAGTCCATGCAGTGTCCATAACCATCTAAAACATTGCAAAAAAAATCAACCGAGGCAGCATATAAAATTGTCACTTCAACAATATCATTCTGATTTCTCTTTAGGCTGTTTAAATCCATTCTGTTAATCTTTGCTGAACAATTATGCAACATACACACTTTTTTGCCTGTCTGTTTTACCTAAGATTAACATTTTTCTTCTTACAGCACGATACCTAAAAGCACTTCCATTTTTCAGATAAGGTTGCATTCACAGCATTGATAACTAGAGGTGAAAAATTAACTTCTCAGTCATAATAACATTACATAATTTACAAACTTTATATAGGCTCTCTATTACTGCAGCCAGTTTGGTCCTGACTGGCAATACAGCATGGGCTGAAGGGCCTGTCTTCATGTTCTAAGGTCAAAGAGGGCACACATAAGTGAGTGTCTGCTATGTGAACGCAATAACTGTAAGTAACATGAAAACACTCCCACCTCACAGAATTTCATCAGATCAGAAGCTCTCTCTTAACATGCAACACGTATTTGTGCCTTAAGGGCAGAGTGGCACTAGGAATCTATGCCTCAGTGTCAGCTAACACATCAGTTCACAGTGAGTTGATAGTTCTGGTTTGTTTTTAATTTGCAAAATGCTATCAAATTGAATTCAGCTTAGGGTAAGGGACAAAAGGGCTGGGTATGCAGAATCTGTCTGCCACTCACCTTCTGTAGTTTACCACACTCCTTTTCTGAAGCATAAAAACCTCCTCTCCTTCATTCTTTTTATTTTTCCCTCAGACTCCATCTTCCTGTTGTTGCCATCAACCTTTCTTAAAATTCCCTTAACTTTGATTTACTGCTTCCCACTATTTTCTAATGCAATTCTAGGTCCCAGATTCCCATCCTCATCTTTGGATTCATGTTGTCTTGTTTCATCTTATGAAGGTCCTCCCTCCCCACATCGTGCATCACTTCTTTTGTATATTTATTTTCATTCCTATTATTATTATTATTATTTTCTCTTCTTTTTCTGTCCTATTAAACTGCTCTTATCTCAACCCATGAGTTTTACCTTTTTTCCTAGTCTCTCCCCCATCTCTTTGCAGGGAAGTGAGCGAACAGCTGTGTGGTGCTCAGCTGTCTGTTGGGTTAAACCACAGCATCTACAAAGATTACTCTAAATTTTAAAAACACTTTGCAAAAGTATACATATTTTCAGTTGAATTAGAACTAGTACCACAGATTTTTATTATGGTTACCAAGTCTTCAGTGTCCTGGTTCCAGTGTTAACTTAGCTTAAGTTCTATATAAGATGTTATAGCACTGGATATATTTGAAGTATTTTCAATTTAAACAACCACACAAAACATTATATAATCCCATGTTTTTACCAGTGGGAGAACTGCATACCTGTGACGGATTTTCTGCATGGCTGGAGGAACTGCTAGTAGCAAGTGAATGTTCCATATGTTTCTCTTTTTCTTCCCTCCCTAAATTAACAAAACTTACTTACTACTGTCAATAGGAGTAAGCATCCAAAGCACTGCACTTGTAAAGTGCACTTATCAACAAAGGTATCAGAAAATATGAAAATTATCAAACAAATTACAGCAAATACTATTTACAGGTTGTTTTAATTTAGTTTTGTTTTGTTTTTTTTTTTACAAACACTGCAAAAAGTATGCTTCATTTTTCTCTGGCACTATGTATTAACTATACCCACCATGTCACTTTACTCATTGCATGGATGAGAGAAGAGTCATAAGGTTTTCAAAACATAAAGACAGGTATGTACTCAACTTTCATTGAAAGCTTGGAATCAACTATCACAGTAAAAACAGCTGAGTACATTTGTTACCATGGTTTTCATTTATTTACATAAAAATAACCCAAAATGTTCACAAAAAGATCATTGGAAACATACTGCACCTTTGTCCATTCGCTTCATAGAGAATCTAACAGTCTGTACAGACTGGACTGATTTCCGGGGAATGCACGGGAGATGTAATGGTTTATACAGTTGATGTTTCTCATTTAGCAAAGAAGGATGCTCACTCTCTTCAAATATCCTAAAAAAAATTAAGGCAATGATTGAAAAAGAAAGGAAATCATAAAATACAACTGCTTCAAATAAATGGAGATTTCAAAGGAGATGCATGATTCCAGAGAGGTTCTACATCTTACAGCTCCAGCAATCAGTAAGATTTAATTTTCCCTTAAAGAATACCAGACAGAGAATACCACTGAAAGCAGGGACATGAAATAGCAATAAGATGATCATAAGAACAATGCTGACTCGAATTTTGTCAGTCTCAAAGAAAAGTATTAATAGTTTTGGTTTTACACTTTTGTAAAAGAGCTTTAATCATAACTGCAATCACACTTCCACATTTAAAAACACTTTTTCACTCCTTGAGATTGTCCAAAATACTTATACTGTAGGCAGACAAAAGACAAAACAACAGCAAACATTTTCACTTGTAGGGTAATTATCTGTGAATGTTAAATAGAATTTAACGGAGTAGAAAGACAAAAGTTAGCAGAACAATTTGGCACAGGAACATTTACCATTTTTATTTTAATAATGTTTTATTTTATTTTCTCTTTGCAATTCCTGCTTGACGCCTCTTTGCTTCTAGCTGCAACATCTGCTTTTGGCTGACTAAGCAAAACTACTCAGAATAACCAAAGATTCAAGATTTCAAGAAAGCCAGTCTTCCTGGTTTTCTTGAAATTTTTCATAAATGAAAATAAGATAAAAAATACGATGAACTTTATAAGGTAGCATGGAGTAAAGTTAGCAACACTGCTGGTTAAAACATGCCAGTGCTAGAAGCACTGGTTAAGATATCAGACCTAACAACACATTAAACTCAGGTGCATGCTCAACTGTGATCACAGAAAATCAGGAATGCACCTCAGTCAAATAACAATGATGAAAAAGTAAAATCTTTACCAATAAAGTTGTATACACACTAAGTGCTGAGCTGGACAACAACCTAACAAGCTACAGAAATCACCCAATATATCAAACAAACCAGAAAAAAAAAAAAAAAAGTCTATTTCTTTTATTTACAGCAATTATTAGATGTTACTTGTGTCAAGAACGAGTACTATGGGAAGTAAGATGTTTACATGACCAATTATCTTTAAGATCAGATGTGGAAATCTTTAAACCAAGGAGTGATAAAACTAGAGCTAAGCAGAAGAGCCCTGGCTAAAACTGCTCACTTTGTTCAGCGTGGCTCATTTGGCCACTTTATCACAATCATCATTGAAAAATGAATTGAACAAGGCTGCTGCTGATGGTTGTGATTTAGATTGCCATTAACCTTTTTTTTTTTTTTTTTTTTTTTTTTTTTTTTACACAGGTTAAGATGCCAATTGTGTTTTTACAAGTTCCTGGAATCAGTTTCTGTGTGTTTTTGTAAAACGTAGCAGACAACTCTCTATATTTCTAGAAAATTGCCATACCTTAAATAAAGTTTTCTTTTACAATATATATCTATTCAGAAGAATGTATCAAATGTATCAAAACTCTCTTTCCATCCTTCTTTTGTAGCAGAAGATGAAGATACCTCCTGCTGCTTGCCTAGGAGCCACAGTGTAGTGACTGCAGAACAACTCACAATAGACTCCTGCCTTTAGTACCCATATTCTGCTGTTATATTTTTGTACATTGTCTTGAGTCTGCAAAGGTTTTAATTCATATAACTCATTATCTTAACACATTTTCTGTTTGATTTCTCTTCACAGTGATTATAATCACAGATTAAAAAAATACCTATTTTTAACATCAGTGGTTACTTCTATGTTTCTGTGTTTGTCTTATTGGTTAATTCTATACTTCCTTTTTCTTTTAATATACTAATGCCAAATAGGGATATTTTAAAACAATTTTTCCACAACCCTTTATGCTGAGGATATTTTTGACAAGAACAAGCTTCAAAAAACAAAAACAGTAATCAGTAATCACGTTGTGGTCTGATACTATAGGCTATATCTCACATACATGGAGGTAAGAGAAATGTGAGTTGCAATACCGTAAAATGTTTACAGAAAGTTATAATCATGACATAAGCCATGGAATTATTTCTTCCGTAAGAGCACCAAAAAGATCTACTTGTATGCAACCAAGAAAAAACTTCTGGTGAAAGGAAAAGCACCTGAAAGATCCATGACAGAGATAAACATACAACTGGAAGGTCTAGCAATGCACCCTATGAATTTATTTCTATTAAGTGTTTGATTGAATACTTCTTACGTCTCCACACTCTGAATATAAATCTCCTTCTCCTGTCATTTTGTTTCTGCAGACTGAACATACTTGGGTGCCTCTGAAAATTCCAAGGAAGGGTTTCCAAACTTTTTCACCTAGTCTTACAACAAAGTGGATTTCTTGCTTCCCTTTGTTTCTAAGATCTTGCCAATCATAAAAAGCTTAGAAGGCAGAACAGGTATAAAGCTTTAAACCATGAAAAAAATAATTTGATTAATTCAGGGATATAAAAGCAGATAATAAAAACCTAAAATGTCCCTATGAAAGGAGCTTAGAGAGTGAAGATGGCACATTTCTGTACACATGGTCCACTAAATTCCAATTCAAAACTCTAAAAAACTTCTTTTTCAAGAAGACCATGGTGTAAAACCACTTGGAAGACTTTTGGACATATTTTAAGTTTAAAACAGCTTTTGGTCTAACAGAAACAGTTTTAAGGGCGATTTTTTAATACTTACAAGAACTCCAGATGAGTGCAAGATGGTTCTGATGGTGATTTCAGTCCTTGTAGTTGAGCTCAAATTAAAGTGAGTCCAAGTTGTAAATGATAACTACCTAATTTACTAAACGATTAATCCTGTCTATGAAACTTTCACTCATGCTTCTTTTTAAGAACCAAATTAAGAGTTAAATTTCTTAAGTAATTCAGAGCTGAAGACGAATGACATTTGTAACTATGACTCCTTTTCACCAATTATGTGTTTAGTAGAGTTAATGCACTTTATTTCTGACTACAGTCACTGTAAATGTATCCAAAACCTTTAAAACTATCCACACAGATGTCTGGATCAAAGCAAGGGAAAATAAATAATTTTTAAACATACCTTTCCTTAAAATTCTTTGGCTTCTCTAGACTTTTCAGATTTTTTCCTTCAACCATTTCTGAATCATTTTGATCTTCTGTAGTCTCTTCAAATCTCTTAAAAGATAAAGAAGAGATAAACATAAAAATTTGAAAAAAAAAATGTGCTGCAATTAAAATATGTGCAGTACAATGACAAGTTTTCTTAAGAAGGAAAGAAAAGGAATTTATGCAATTCTTACTGTAAAGCATATTTAGTTAAATACATTCAAATGAACAAAACCTTCTTAAAAATTGTAGGACCTGTGAAGGCAGTATACTCAAGCCCTGTGGCTCCCAAAGGAATAGTCCTGTTAAATTTTGTTGAGTATGCTCTGGCAGTGTTGAGCTAACATGAAAGTCATTGCACACAGGTCCTTGAGAGAATTATGGTATAAACTGAGGTCAACAGAAAGAAAGCTTTAAGAGCCTTTATATTCATGGACATCTCTTCTCCAAGAAAACATATGTGATGCTATAGAAAAATAATTGCCAATTCTGATATCAACCTGTTGGCCCATGTGCTTGAAAACGTACTTTTTTTGTTTCAGCAAATTACAGTATAAACACCTACATACATAAATCATACTTATATAAAAGAAAATTAAAATGCCGTTACCTTTTTAAAATAATTAATTTTCATTTCTAATTCCTCTGCTTCTCTTTCTAGTTCAACTGATTCTTGTGTAGCAACTTCAGCAAGCTTTAACATTTCCTGTGTTTTTTGCCTCAAAGAAGCACTTTCATGTTAAGGGACAAACATGGCAACATTATTTTTTTCAAGCAGTGAATACTAACAGATCGCTCACAGTTCTATGCCATAACTGAAAATTACAGAGCTACAGAAAACTCTGACAAATCAACATTTCATAGACAAGTCTCAAAATCTAACTTCAGTTAGTCTTCTCCTCCTTAATGAAGCATTTTGACTGATCTGTCATTAAATGAAATGTTACTTTCTTCCCTCAAAAAGCTCCCATAAAATTTAACTGAAGAATATTAATTGACCTTCAGTTTCCTCATAAGGAAATGCCTACTAGAGCCACTCTAAACATAAATAAATAATTATTATACTTTTTAAATAAAAACATGCGAAAGGTGAATAGAAACTTTCCTCCCCATAAACTGTATAAACACTATGCATCAAGGATACATATGCAAAGCCCAGTCATTAAAGGATTTGAAAGGAGCAGGCTCTGCAGAAACAAAATTTTGTTTCAAATCATTAACAAGCCTAATTTTCTTTACAAATACAAGATAAATTAGCAGTTCAGGAACACTTATCATTGCTTAGTGTACATAACAGAAACAGCAGTAATACTGAAGGTAATGCCATTTAAAACAGAACAAAAAACATATATGAAAAATAAATTTACATTTTTGAAAGTCTAGTTCTAAAGTAATTTGGGAATGTTTACCCCAAGAAGCCCAGCGGCAAATCAGCATGTGTATTTTAAAATCTTGTTCCAAATCTCAATTTGCTACATTTTTTCCCCTTAAAAATGGTGTAACAAAAAGAAGAATGTTTAATCGGCTTAAGAGAAACGGTGATGAATTGGTGGATTTCTGTACAGCACTTCTAATGTGCAGTACACTAGCAACAGGCTGTACAGTTTAAGTGTTGATAATAATAGTACCCAGAATGTCCGAGCAAGCGTCTTCTTTCAATTTATATTGTTCAGACTGCTTCAGAATTCTGTTTTGGATTTCTTCAATCTCTTTCTTTTTTTTGGAACACTCCTGTGCAAGAGGGGTTTCTGCATACTTCTCACGGTGTTGCTCCAAAATCTCTTTATACTGGATTATGTAATCCTGATACATTTTCCTATAAAATAAATCACAACTTTTTTCCACTTATTAAGCTATTGTTTATCAGGAAAAATTGCCTAGTTTATGGAATCAGCTCAATTAGACTTGCTGTTGTTCTGCAACAAGTCATAATTACTTTTAGCATATCACTATTTGACTCTCATTGTTCTCTTCCAGCTATTTTCATGGATGATTATACTGGACATAACAAAGAATACATTCATGATATAACAAACAGTCATTATTTTGACAGGAATGTAGACCATACCATGTCCAAAGGTAGCTCAGCAGATGACAAATGTTTCTTCCTTCTGTAATTATCATGAAACTCACAGCAAGCCAAATTCTGTGCTTGTGTTCACTGGCACAACTCCAGTGTTTTCAGTGGAGCTGTATCAAACTTACACTAAAAGAGGATTTGGCCTAGCGTCCAGTCTTTACAGCAGCCTGATGCATCACTCAAGAGCTGCCTCCAAGGAAATGCTGAACAATATGAGTCTGAAGCCTTAAGCACACACATTAGTGTGTGTTAGTCCTAAAACAATAGCATTATCTATGCTTAAGGTTAAGCAAACATTTAAATGTTCAATTGGCAAAGAGCCAGAATACTCTTTTTTTTTTAGGACTGCCCTCAAAATTAATCCTACACTAATACAATTTCACTGACATCGTGTGAGTACATAGCTACAAATTACTGAAGTAAGTAGCATCAATTAAGAGGCCCCGTTAAGTAAATGTTCGTGACATCTTACAAGTTTAAATAGGCTTCGAAAAAAAATTGCTACAAAAACAAATACCATAACAAGCAATTGGATGTAATTCATCACATAAGGCTGAAAATTGATCAATATTATGCTTGGAAAAAAAGAGAAAAAGAGAAAGAAAAACACTTTTGCACAGAGCAGCCATCATCTTGTGTTAAATCAATGACAGTGACTACATTGGAAAAGACTTTACTTGGTCTGTTTTCTCATTCAGACAAGGAATTTACAAAGATAGATTGCTAATGGCAGATCAATATTCAACTATCTCATTGGGAAACATCTTCTGTTACACCAATAATGATGCTAAGCATAACTTTTGTTACAGGTCATTTCCAGTGCAAAAGTAGTATCTTTAGCTGAGTAATTAACAACACTGAGTAATTAACAAAAGAGCTAGTTCTAGTTCTTAATGTCACACACATGTAATGCAAGTATAAACCTACTGGAAGTCTGTATTTCCCACACAACAAGTCTTAATCACTTACAGTCTTTTAATAGTATGAATAACAACCATAGCCCAGTATATTTCTCTCCGCATTTGAAAGCAAAAGCTTAATAACTATTTAAAATGAAATTAAGCCATTCATTTAAAATGTTTGTATTCTATTCAACCTCAGGATGAATTGGACATATGTAAAATGCATAATAACAGTTGACAGAAAGAATTTATGACGATGGTACACATTTATAAAGACCTACCACAGCTCCAGACGTATAGCACATATCATTAACACAGCCTGGTCAATTAACTGAGAAATAAATATTACACAGAGTTGAGATTTGTGTATACTGTATCAGATTTTCAAGGTATGAAAGGTGGAAGAGATTTAGCTCTATTGAATGTAATAGATGCTACAAACACTAGCTGAGCAAAAATGAAATTTGCAGATATACAATTAAGAATGCATTACAAATAAATGTGAAAAAAAATATATCAAAATCATATAATTTGTTGCAACTGGTACATTTCAAACTTCTGAAAATAAACTTCAAACTTTAAATATATGCCTTTCCCAAAAGTGTATTTTCCACTGATAAATATTTAGAGCCATATACAGAATAGTGTAATAGTCTTGAGAAATTATCACAATTTTTAGTATTTTTCCTAAGTAATTCACATCCTCCAGTTCATGTAGCTGAACATAGGCTATCTAGAATTCAGCACTGTTCACACTAAAGTCATTATAAAAGTTCTAATTTAATGTCAAAAGGAAAAAAAGACAACATCCACAAAACTCCTGAACACTACCTTGATAGTTATTTATTCCTCTTTCCTTTTTTTTTATTGCTCTTTCCATCCTGAAAATATCACTTATAAAACATGATACATAAGTGATACTTTCAAGATGAACTTCCAGCACTACGCATTCTTATATGTTCTTGAAACTAATAATAGAAAGAAAACGGAATGTTTTTAAAACCTCCACAGTAAGTGCTTAATTAAATGTAAATTGATCTGCCCATCTTTTAAAAACATCTTTCAATTTAAAGCAGCATGCCTTGAATATCCACTTATGCCAGATAAGATGGGCATTTAGCACATGAAGTTTTAAATATACTTATTTGTCTTCCTAATTTATATATTTAAAATTTGTTGACTGCACATCTTGCTAATTTGAGTACATAATTAAATGCTTCAGTACACAGGAACTGTATTTGAAAGAAATATCTGAAGACCAATTGTGAAAAATATATAAATTAAATTCATTTCATCATTTATAGTCATGGTGTCTTATAATTAAGCTCAGGAAATAAATAAAAAAAAAAATGGGGGGTTGGAATTGAAACTAGTTATCTAAAGAAGCAATTCAAAAGTAATGATTCTTCGGCTTGTTAGATCTAACTAGTAAAGGCCAAAATGGCTTCATCATATAATCATAGAAAGGCACTTTGGCCTTATTTTTCACCAAAAAGCCCTAAAAAAGAAGACATCTATTTCTGCTGTCTAAAACTACTGGAAAGAAGAACACATACAAAAGAACAAAACCAACTTAACTGTAGCTATCTACAGTTACATCTCTAAATTGGTATTTAGGTATGTAGATGGATCTGTCATGATTTTTTCAGCATAAGGCTGACCAATCTCTTCCCCTTCCCAAGCAGATAGGTAAAGGTGAGCAGCCTCTCTAAAATGAAGATCACTTTTATATGAGTGTTAAACAATACTTCACAGGGTTAACTTTGCACACCCCATTTTGAAAATTTCAGTGAAGATTTTCAGGAACTGTTCTTTATCCTGTTCAACGTAGGCAGCTACCTTCCATAACAAGTCATTTTTTAAAATGTAGAAATTAATTAGTGAAGATGAAACTTAAAAGAAATGCCACTTACTAAACAAAATTGAACATGTAATTAATACTGACAAGCACCTTACCCACAACTGGTCTTAAGATGATTATGGAGCAGATGGAGCAGGCTTTCCTTAGGCACTTACCTTATTTTCATGATTATTCATTGAATGTGTATTCTAATAATCATATTCAATTCATATTCACAAATAAGAAAGGCTCAAAATTATCTGAATGCATCTGTTGTCTTATTTAGTGCATATATGAAAGTAAAGGCTTAGGGTCATTTACATGATGCTTCTGAAAAAAACAGAACCTCACTATTTTCCAAAAAGTCTTCCCAAACCTGAATATCTGAAATACACTATGTGAAGATGTGTCACAATAATGGTTAAAAAAATCTTTAGATAAAACATGTTCCTGCAAATGTGGTCAGATATTTCATATCTCTGCCAAAGCTGAAATATTAATTACCTTTATTTCACAGGCTTTCTTGAAATTGTAGGCAATTCAACAGTGTTATGAAAATTTATGATAGACAGTTAGGAAGCATTGAATTTGGAAAAAAGCATATTTTATCCTCTTTCATTAGTAACTAAAAAGTAGCAGATGAACTCATAATAATATAAATCAAATATTCTTTTATTACACTGAAAAGTTTACCACAACTTTCTGATGCAGACTGCTTTCTTTGCTGATCAGCTTAGAGAAGTTAATAGACACTACTGCTAAAACCTCATCTCATATGATCACAGATACCTCTCATTTTCTGTAGCTTCTTGCAAAACTTCGAGTTCATTTTCAAATATTCTTCATGCTTGCTAAGAATTGCATAGGTGGGCTTCCAGCTGTTGAGAAAGTAGAAACGTGTATAAATGGTCTCTCCTAATAAAAAGGCATTTAAAAATGAAAACATCAAGTTGCTTTGGGTAGCTAACTAGAACAATTAATGTTTTGAAAGTCAAATATAAATGGTTTTAATGTAGAAAGCTTTTACATGCATACATTTATTTTCTTGAGATTTTAAGTTGCAAATTCAAGAGTATATATAGGATTAGCAATGATTATAAAGCACTTTTTAAGGGATAGAGTGAACTTCACAATCTTTCAGGACCCTGGTGCTAAGCATTCAGGCATCAAAACATAAATTTTAGGTACTCAGAACAGTACCACCAGTAAATCCTTTAAATGTGTATGTTCTTGGAAATGCATGCTGCTTTTTCTCAGCAATATCAACCAGCACCTATCTCATACTTAAATGCAAGAAGCAGCCACCAACTCAAAACCTCTTCCATTTGCTAAGCAAGTCCTGCTCAGAAAACAGCCAGAAAGAGATGCTGCCTTTCAGTACAATAACCCAGAGACTGCAAGCACTGACCTGGAAGTCTGGAGTCACAGATTCCTACAGAACAAACTAATAGGTCTGCTTTGCCTCCTCTCATGTGGTTCTCCAACAGCCTTGAAACACAAATAATCCATTTTGTGTGGGTTTTGTTGGTTTGGTTGGTTATTTATAATTTTCAGGAGCCTCAGATAATTTAAGAACTATGATGCAGCTCACCAAAGTGAAGTTTCCCACAGCAGGATGCTGTAGATTAGATGAAATCACAGCAACTTCAGGAATGAAAGGACTTCAGGACATGATGGACTTAAGATTCCTGAAGCTATGCCAACAGTACTTTCTCAATATCCAGGTATTAAAGATGCCTCTTCCCTGAATGTGGGCACTCTATGAAACAGGCAGAATAAACTCTGATTCAAATAAAATTAAGATGTGATCTTTAGGAGAGGCATATCAGTGGGTCTTTAAAGGAAGAAAACAACCTGCCTGAAAAAAAAAGATAAATACGGAGAATGAACCATTAGGGCCTGGATGTTCTCCTACCTTCCCAGTCTGAATACCAGCTATCAGAAAAGATGTTTTCACAAATAAATGTACAGGCAAATTGCCATGGGTGGGGCTCAATTATAGATGGTAAGAAACAAACTTAGAAACCTTCAATGAATGGAGCCTTCAAACAAGGGAGTAATCTTTTATGAAGACTGAACAGACACCTAAGTGTTGGGAGGTGAGGGAAAGAAACAGAAATATTAACTCCTACAGAGCTAAATGATTTAAAAAAAAAATAAGATTATTTTTTGCTACTGCTGACATTCTTCTCATTCAGAGAGAATAATCTCTGTAGTGACAGGTTGTAAACAGCCAAATTCTGAGATGCTGAGAGCTGAGATTCAGATGATGGCTGAATCATCTGGGCTACACTGGTATAGAGATCCCATTTACAATGAAAAAGAAGCACATGTTCCCTCCAAGTGAACCTTCTACAGAAAAAGGCAGCACAATCGCTCTCTCCGATAAGGCTTATAACTATCTATAAATTCAGCATTTGTCTAGAACACAAGCTACTCTGGGGCAACACAAACACCTACAATGAAATTTGCATGGAACTATCTGTCCTAGGAGATGTGAACGTAAGAAACAGCTTAAGGAAGACTTATATAGATCCTATTAAAGATGAAGATTGAAGAGAGAAGAAGAAAACTATAAGCACCTGAAGCACAGCTAGCTGGCGACCAAATAAAACTGGAACAGGAAAGATACGGGTCAAAAATTAAGTTACATTTAAAGGGATGGAAATCAATGATGAGGAGAAGAGAAATACACACAAGTTACAACTGAACAAAGCAAGCAATTCTCTACTGGAAACTGAGAGCAACTGAGGATATATGGTACTGTTTACACCGTATATTCACAAGTACAGCACATAAACAGCATTTTGGGATGCGAGTATACCCTGTGGTTCAAAAGCGGAGAGCTTGTAGCATGCAATCATACAAAGTAGGACTGTGCATTTGCACAAGCGCTCCAAAGCTGGAGTAGAACAAAGACTTCACAATTAAATTGCTGAAGTCCAATATCCCTGAAAAAGATAATGTACTTCAGGTGCTAAAAAAAAAACAACATATAATCAACTTTTATAACAGCCGTAAAATTTGTCAACAAAAAAAGCTGAATGAGAAAGTGCAGCATCCATCCAGGAAAGTTAGCATTATTTGGCACAAATTGTTTGAAGCTACAGTGATTAAAAAGTAATTAAAAAATGCTACTTCACCACACCTACCACAAATTCGGCAAAAAGCTACACTTCAAAGAGGTCAGACTTTAAAAAGCAGAAAGCAACAGCACATGCATAAAAGTGCAC